CCCCCCCCCCCCCCCCCCCCCCCCCCCGCCCCCCGCATCTCTCCAACTTCCTCCACCCTGCTCTGGGCTCTGGGAGCCTGGCAGGAGAAGACTCGGAAGATCCATCCTCCCAGAGGCCCTCCCGCATTACCTCCCAGGGAGGTCCCCACCAGGAACCCGCCCTTCAGGTGCACAGAGCAGGCCCCACTGGCTTCCGGGAGCGGGGTGGGGTAGCTCAATAAGACCATATTTCGTTCTGTTTAATCTCAAGGCAAAGAGGAACCCAACTCTGCTCCCGATGTTTAAAGGGCCTTGTTTGGGAGAGGAAGTGAATGATTTCTTTATTTCATGAAGGCCGAAGCAGAAATTGGCCAGCTGTCAACCATAAACCGAGCTAACCATAGACCGCGCTGAATCAGTCACAAATATTTACTGAGCTCTGCCCTGAGCTCAAAGACCTCCCCCTTGTCCTCGCCACAGGGGACAGAAGGAAGCCCAGGACAGGAATGCCTTCGCCCTGTATTCCAGACCACAATGGAGTACACCGTATGTGTCTGTTACTGATGGAGTTGTGTCCCCCAGAAAGATGGGTGGAAATCCTAATGCCCCGGGACTGCGGCATGTGTCCTTGTTTGGACATTAGAGTCTTGGCAGGTGAATTGGTTACGATGAGGTCACAGTGGGGTAGGGTGGGCCTCGCCTCCCACGTGGCAGGTGACATGGACCCTCCAGGGGTGTGCGTCCTGGGATGACGGGCGGAGACGGGCTTGCAGCGGAGTCCAGGCTGGGAGGGGACCATTTCTTCAGTACTGCTTTAAGGCTCGCAGTTTGCATTATTGTTACAGCAGACTCGGAGAACTGATACGGTTTCAGGCCTGTCCATTGAACGGCTTGGCCAAGTGCTGAGCCCCTGCCAAGCCTCTCACTTAGCACACCAGCAGATTAGAGACACAGGCTGCTGTGTTCCTGGTCAGATAGGGAACCCAGTGGCCAGCAAAGGGGAAAACACTAGGTGTGAATCTGGGAAGCTGTGGAAGCTATCGGGGCGTGCCCCACGGGTGACCCAGCAGCCCCATCCACCCTGCTTGTGGTTCATAAGTCTCCCCAAACCCTCAGAGGCCAGAGAGCTCTTTCCAGAAGAAACTCAGTCTCATCAACCAAATGCCTCTCCCGAACTGAGCCAACCCAGCTGGGGATCTAGGCACCTTGGGTCATGACCAGGCATTGAGCCCAAACAGAAACAGACTCCCTGGCCATATGGATAATGCCCTGTGGCCGCCTTAGACTGGCAGGCGAGGAGCCAGGGAGGTGGGGTTTACTGAGTAAGGTTTGTTTCTCAGCTCAGGGGATGCCTCTGCTCCCTAAGCCCAACACAGAACATGCATTGCACAGTGGCTCAGAGAAGACCCAGAGCTCCGTGACTAAGTGCACACGTTGGCCCCAGGCTGAGGCCGGCAGGCTCCCCCTTTGTTCCTGCTGTGTGACCCTGGGCAAATGACTTCCCCTCTCTGAGGATTAAAACAGGACCGACCCAGCTGATGAACCACACACTGTCCAAAATATCCAGAAAAGGCAGAGCCACAGGGATGGAAGAAAGCAGACTGGTGGGCGCCTAGCTAGTGAGCACTTACGGGTTCCAGCTTGCTTTTTTAAGGGGGGGGGGGATGATGTTCCTCAATGTGGATATGAGTGCCCACCTCTGTAGCTACTCTGGTTTATAAGACACCGATCGGCAGGCCACCATCCACCACCCAATTGAATACTTTAAGTGATTCGTACACTTGACATTTTATAATATGTGAATTCTATCTCCACCAACTATTACAACAAATAAACCATGCCCGGCACACGGACACACTGTCACCAGCGTTAGTTATTATCACACGCAAAGCAAAGGGCGCTGTTATGCATGGGCACTGGGGAGGGGCCCCGTGGATTTATTTCCACTTTTGCTTGAGGGTATGCTGCTGTAGGTTGAAAGGAAAAAAAAAAAAGGGCAGTTTTGATACCATCAGGGAAATCATTTGATTGGGTTTTATATGTTGTTCAGAGATTTTAATTTAATTTAATTTTTTATTTTTTTAAGATTTTATTTATTTATTTGACAGAGATCACAAGCAGGCAGAGAGGGAGGCACAGAGAGAGAGGAGGAAACAGGCTCCCTGATGAGCAGAGAGCCCAATGCAGGGCTTGATCCCAGGACCCTGGGATCAAGATCTGAGCCGAAGGCAGAGGCTTTAACCCACCTGCGCCCCTATTTTTTTAATTAAATTTTAAAAAAATTTTTAACATTTTAAAAAAAGATTTTAATTATTTATTTGAGATCCCAAGAGAGAAAGAGAGAGAGAGAGAGAGCGCAAGTGGAGGGGCAAGGATCAGAGAGAGGGAAGCAGGCCCCCAACTGGGCAGGGACCCCCCCCCCCCCGATGTGGGACTTGATTCCAGGACCCTGAGATCATGACCTAAGCCAAAGGCAGACGCTTCACCAACGGAGCCACCCAGGTGTCCCGAGATGATTTAATTTTAGGGCTAGTGACAGCATGGGGTTTGCTATACATTTTTAAATATTCTTCTTTTTTTAAAGATTTTATTTATTTATTTATTTGACACACAGAGAGAGTGAGCACAAGCAAGGGGAACGGCAGGCAGAGGCAGAGGGAGAAGCAGACCCCCCCATTGATCAGGGAGCCCAATGCGGGACTTGATTCTGAGAACTTGTGACATGGCCTGAACAGAAGCCACGCAGGCGCCCCCATTTTTCAGCATTCTTTTTTTTTTTTTTTAAAGATTTTTATTTATTTATTGAGAGAAAGGCAGTGAGAGAGAGCATGAGCGAGGAGAAGGTCAGAGGGAGAAGCAGACTCCCCATGGAGCCGGGAGCCCGATGCGGGACTCGATCCCGGGACTCCGGGATCATGACCTGAGCTGAAGGCAGTCGTCCAACCAACTGAGCCACCCAGGCATCCCCATTTTTCAGTATTCTTATCGGTCAGAGGAACACACTGAAATGTGTCCAGATTGAGTGAGAAGGCAAAGGACAGAGCAAGCCGGACTGGCAACAAGTTGAAAATCGAGCGA